TAAACCAGGCCCAAAATAACTTTGCCAGATTTTCATTTAGGTTTATGGCATATTACCCAAAAATTCAATTATAAACTGTTTTTTCAAAGCAGGGGCGGAGCTAGATGTGTTGCTAGATTTGCTAGATTGTGACACTGATAGAAAATGTATCTTGGGGTCCTCTTTTTAATTAGATAACTGCTCAAACAAGTTATGTATATATCATGCAGAACCATAAATGACTGATTTAGACAACATAAGTGTAGATCTTTTTTGAAAGGCTTAATGAAAATCTACTGTTTATTTTCCTATAGATGAACTTTGAACTCAGTTCTTGGCCATGCTTCAACATAGGTCCAACCCTATAAAAATTTTCTGGCTCCAACACCGTTAAAAGTACTGCAACTTTCACCTAATCAGCCACTTTTTTGCCTGGTTTTTCCATTGATTAATACATTTAAACAATGTCTATAGAGTGCATATCTAAAATTATGCGTAATTGGTTTGTTGGGGATAGTTTTTCGAAACTATAGAATTATGTTCATATATTATTCAAAAGTCTTAAGATGTACATCTTCTTGACAAGACTGACCATCTGTATATAAGAAAATATATTGTACACAGTTATGCTCTGAAGATTAAGAAGCACATGTTCTGCTGATTGACTGAGATTTCTAAAAAGGAATTAACTGAATTTTTTTTCTAATAAAATCAGAATCATGTTGATATATTAACCTCCCTTTGGATTCAAATAATTTCTATCTAGTCACAGTGTAAATATCTAAAACAGTCATACAAACCCTATTGCCTTTAATTCTTCACTGTATTGATCCAATAAGATTTCAGAAACATTCCTCTCAGACTCTGGTCCACTTGGCATCACTAAGTTGCTGCCAGCTCTACTTCCAAGTTCTGAACTTCCCCTTCAAGCACATCAAGAGTTAGTTTTAGATAAAGAGCAGTTGAGTATGGAGGCCATTGTAGTACTTCAAACCCTCTGTCATATTTGATAAATAATTTTCAAATTATCTAAGCTTTGACACTGGTGCATTTTCCTGTTGAAGTAACCATCAGAGGATGGGTAAATATGGCCATGAGGGGATACACTGGTGCAACAAATATCCAGGAAAGCCGATTCATTGAAATGGCTTAAACTGCAGAAGGAGCACTTTTACCATACCATCAAATGACCGTCACAGGTCTGATCTTTCATCCTTAACCACTATGCCCATTTTCTGCTGAAAAATAAAGTTCGGCTTTTCACAAACACTGCCAATTTTGCTTTTCCAAACCATTCTCAAGTCACATTTATTTCCACCAATTCCAACATGGAAGCATAGATGTTTGTCAACTTCTATTGATTATTTCAACTTTAAGCTATATGCAACATGACTAAAAGCATGCAAATGCAGAACCATAGCATAAATTCAATTTTTTATGACTTTTGTTTGTGACCAGACCAGTATTAACTTTATCAACCGTGCTAGCTGCCATGGAATCCCAGAAAAACAACATTCATTTATACAGAGATTTTACCTTTCAGTAAGGTACAAATTCCACCCCAAGTAATTATTTTCATTTGACCTTTACTAATAGACAACCGAGTTGTCTGATCTGATTACATATTTCCTTCACCTGCTTATCTCCGCCCAGTTCTCATTAACGCTTATTTGATCCACCTGCTTCAGCCTCTATTTAACTAGCCTTCAAACCAGTCATCAGTGCCAGAATATTCAAGCCTTTTGTGAGAGTTCTCTGGCGTAGCAGTGTGTTCTGATTGCCTAATCCTGACCTGTTCTGCCTCTAAACCTCTGAGCCTGCCTGTCCCCATTCTGATCTGTGTGCCTGACCTGTCTTCGGACTCCTAATAGATCTCTGCCTGTCTGTGATTGAACCTGGAACTGTTTCCTGACACCGTCCTGGATTTCCCTTGGGCACTTCTTCAGACTTGTGATCTCCTGACTCTGAACACTGAGCATGTCTTCGACACCGGCTTTGGCTTTACTCTCTGGGTTATTCTGCCATCCCTCATTTGTTTGGTTCTGATCTCGTGCCTGTCCTCCGTCCTCCGAGACATCGGCTTCTGGGACTCTCTGGGTGGCGTCCACCGAGTCTTGTTGGTAGCCGATTGGCTGAAACCAACTTCACCCTCTGGGCACGGACTAAACTGCAAGACCAGATTAGTGACTCACACATTTATTATTATCCTCCGCCAGATAGACATGGTCACTGACCTGTGTTCTACCACTGTAGAGGTTCCTGTCTTTGATGCCAACGCTGTTCTCATCAGTTCCGTCTTAAATAAAAGTTTTGTTAAATCTGTCATTCTGTCTTGAATACTGGGTCCTTTTGTTCTTAGCTTGACACCAATAGTTATAGCCCTCTGTATGTGACTTTCTGGAACATCCTAATCAGACAGGATTTTAAAAACCTGTACCAAGCAATGAAAGAAATATCCCCAGTACTCAGAGTAACACTTTGTTTCCTCCAAAAAAGCATAATCTTCAAAATTGCAACTGTAATTGTTGTTCAGACAGACAGATGAAAGGATACAATCTTTAAGGAATGTATTTTTTTTATGAAGAATAACTTCTATTACAAAATGAGCCCCAGCATTGATTTACTATAATAAAGTTAAAGAAAGAACATTTCTTCAGTGTATCAAGAACTTAGTCGACAAAGTCTGAAATTTAGGAGGTATTGAGTATGATTCTTTTTAGATATGATCTGATGTGATATTATATAATACAGGTGGGTAGAGATGAGGATCAGAGAGCACTGCATTGTGTATGAAAAGAAGTGAAGGTGGGTTGCACAAAAAGGATTTAAGTACTGTGTGACTAGTTTAACAGAAAATCCCAGCTTTGAAAGAACCACTGTCCGCCGTTAGGTAACAGGTCCTGTTTACAGTAGCTGGACAAACTCTAAATGCAGTAGTTACAGGAAAATGTCACCTCGGCTGCATGTAACTCTCCCACACACAAACACCCCAAAAATGAACTTCTTACCAGATATTTTGGTATAAATACCTAACAAATGCAAATAAAAGGAATGTATTCATTTAGTCTTTTAGTTGTACAAAAAATTTTGGACGACTTTAAACTGTTTTTTAAAGGTTGGTATGAAAATTGCATAACCATTTATTACATCTACAGTATTGTGTGCAGAGAGGGGAAAAGGTAACACAAATAGTCCATTAGAGTAGAAAAGAAAAGAAAAGAGCGCAGAACATACAACTCAGTTAATTTTGAAAAGACAAAATCAGAAGAAAATGAACAAATTAGCAATAGAAGAAGTAGATCTCATCTGATTAATGCAAAATTCTTGCATCTTCCCATTTAGCTTCATCTATTAACTTTCAATAGTTTGTTCCTTTTTAGCTATGCATGCATAGAGTTATATTACTTATATTATAAATGATATAACTTTATATAAATAAAGAGTATGTGGAAAAAAAAGACATAAACACAAGGCAGCCTCTGTAAAGAAAGATTTGGCATAAAAGGGCTTACGAAAGAATGAAGTAGTAATAACAAAATCCCCAGCTTAGATTTTAGTTCATCATCAAAGATTTAATGGCTTATAGAGAAACACAGGAAGTGCATGGAAAGGCTACCTTGGAGGAAGAGTTCAGAGATCTCAAAAAGAACGTCTGCTGTAAAAATAAGTTCATTTACAGTTGGTTTTCAACCTGTTGCCTGTTCTCACAGAGTCACTTTAACCTCTTGGACACTAGGCCTGTTTTCGAGAAATATGCTTGAAAATAATATGCCCAAAATGAATTGAATATATCTCAAGAACTATAGAGTTTATTTTAATTGTTTTAGTATCAAAATAAAGGCAAGACCCCAGAGAATATGTTACAGGTCTAAAAACCATCTTGGGGCGAGTGCTGAGGACCCAAATTTGGGTCCTCATGTTATGAAAAGGGGCCTGTTACATACTAGCATATGTAACAATTTGAGCATTTTTCATACCTACCTTAACAAGACCACATAAATGGAGACACTATTTGAGCATGCAGGCGGTAAGTAAACAAGTAAGCTTCATAATTACATAAATTAATTCTAATTAGATTGAATGATTTTTGAACTGGATTTTTTCTTTTGACAGGATCCATTTATTTATCAAAGTATCTTGAAGTGACATTTATTGTAAACTGGAAGCTTTTACACAAAGATAAGTGCAGCACAAGTCATGAAGCAACTCATGAAAGCTGTTTTTTCAAAGAAACCTCTAAAAAAGCAAAATATTCTCTTTATGGCTTTCACAGTCTGAAGGAATGAGCAAAAACATTTTCATAAGCAGCTGACATATTCTCATACTGGATGTAAAGACACTCGGAGAGAATTTTGACTGATATAAATGTTTAAAAATAGACCCTGCAACATAATTGCAAATAATTCATTTCTGTTTTTGTTTTTTTTGGCACATAAAAGATAACATATAGAGTTAATTTATTAAAATACTCTTGGTGGTTTTTGAAATGTATGAATGAGTCTCAAACAAAACCAAGGTTTTTTGCATATACTGGATCCCCCCCCACACACACACACCCCCCCTAGGTCATGGAGTATTTATCTCTAATCATGCATTTAATTCTAGGAGTAACAAAAATTATCCATAAAGCTATGTCTCAATATTCCTGGCTTGTCATTAATATTTAGTTTTCCCAACATTTAAAATCTACATTTTTCTGTCAAGTTAACATCTTTAAAAATACCAGTTTTTGAAACTTTCTTAAAAGGTTCTTGAAAGTAATAAAACACTGATCTTAGCTATCATTCCAAGATTACAATTTATAAATAATCTACATTTATGCCTGTAGTCAAGCTGCATCTCTCACAGGCGCAATCAGCAGCCTTAGTTTGCACATTGGATCATTGCTTCACGGAGTCACGCATGTTTTTAACTCTAGGGGGCAAAAAAGTGTTGTCAGGTTTCAACCCATCTGATTACCTGTCAATTCGCATCACGGAGGAGGAGGTAAACATTAACCAGCAGGGAATGATTGGGCGTCAGACAACTGTTTCACTTTAAAGAGGAACATGGCGACGAGCTGTAGATCTGTGCAAACTACAGGACAAATTCTGTACAGGTGTTCTAACTATTTGCACCAAACTACCAGGTACGTTCATTTTATCTTTGTCATTTATAACAACGTAAGAAACAATGTGCAATGACAGTCATGAGATTTTTAGCTCAGTCAACAAAATACTGAACTTATGAAAAGTTGGAAACCACCCTTATGTATTTTCTGAATACATCTGCCAACATTTACAGCCATGATTTATCTTAATATCTTTTGTTTTATTTTCAGTTAAGATCATGAAAACACACCAAAATGTCAACCATTGCTGCTATGTTATTTAATGAGAAAATCTCCATAATATGACCCAGTATTTAACTTGTAAATGTCTGTCTTAAGTTTAATATGTATTTCTATTGTTAAAAATAAGGCATGAATGTTATCTAAAACCCATTTGCAAGCCTGCTTTAATCATTTGCTAGACCTCTGAACCTTGCACTGTAAAAGCACACTGCAGACACACGCAGGATTTAGGGCCCCCAACCACATTGATTTCTGCTCTCTTTGATATCTGTGGATTTTAGAAACCCTTACAAGTTTTTGTGAAACAACAGTCTTTAGAATAAAAAATATGACAAAATAGCACCAACTCTCCTTTGTCAATCGCTATGCCGATGGACGTTAGAAATACTTTACAAAAGCCTGAATCCGAATTTCACAGAAACATCTTTAAAAGATTTGGGACATTATAAGTTTGTAGAAACCAAAATAAGTCAGAGAATTGGAAGTTAAACTTAATTTAGTCAGTGTGTTTAACAGTATGTGATTTTACTTTATGAATATACCTCTCAATGATTTATTGAAATATAGATTATTTAATTAACTTTTAACCTATGTTTGTATTAGTACAGGATTTTCTTTACTTTATAAAGAATACCAAAATAAAAATAGCTAATCACAACAAATTGCGATTTCAGTATAGTGGTTATGCAGTTACCTATTTCACATAGTGTATTTTTAAGCTGCTGTTGTGGTTTCTTACCTTGCAAGTTTTAGGTGGTTTAAACCAGCATAGACTGAGTGGTGCGAACGCTGTGCAAATAGGAAAAATGTTGCAAAAGACAAATGCTGTCATCACAGAAAACAGAGCGATGCAAAGCGAAGTATGCTGCAGGAAACCCATAGTAAACACATAAATTATTCTACCTTGCAAAACATATGCAAAGGGTCTTAACCATGGTTCAGGTCCAGTTTAGAAAACCAGAAGGGATCATTAGCTGGTATGGGCAACGTTTAGGCCAAATACGAAATGCACACCTATGAAAATAAAGAAACCAGCTAGTCAGACCCAGTATCAGTACGCCTCATTGGCTGATTGTGAATCTGCTGGGATGATTTTCTAAAAGCAGCTATCAGCCCTAAATAACACAGGAACATGCCTTTTTTTGGTGGTATAGCATACTGACATAAAAACAACGGTAAGAAAGTTTATGAAAGTTCTTAGTACAGCTAGTGAAGACTGACAAGATGCATCTGATTTGGTGGACTAAAATAACGTTCAGCTAAATCAGCCAATAACTATATCTAAGAGACAAACAGGTTTAACCTCTGAGAGACAGGGTGTAGTAGAAGAACACAGAGTAGAAGGAAACATTTTTTGTAGCCTAATTGATGCTCCCCTGTATGGCATTCAGAAAACCAGAAGATCTGCCTCTTATTACCCTGGAAACATGAAAAAAATCAAATCTTTGTATGATTGAGCTTAATTTCTAAGGCAGCATATGTGAGGACAATTTTCAAGCTTCCATGAAGGGAACAGTAGACAGGAGAAATATTTTCTCACTTTTTAACTTTCATAACACTCAGCTTTTGGGTTAAGCTGAAGACTTTTATAACTGCTTTCTTTGGACATTCTGATAGTAAAGAATTACAATTATCCAGTCTTTAAGTACCGTAACAAATTCTTGGATATTTCTTATAAGACATTTCTTATATTAGCAATATTCTACGGGTAGACAAACCCAGAAACCTGTTTCATATGGGATTTTAAAAAACACCTTGGCCAAAAAAAGATAGTAGTTTTAGATTTTTCTGAATTTAAAAGCAAAAAAAATGTAATTCATTTGGGCTTTTATGTCTTCAAGAAAGACATGCCTGTGGTTTACTTAACCCTTTAAAGCCCGATCCAAGAATAAAACAAAACAGAAAATTACTTTTTTTTTGTTTGAAGTCCTTCTTTGGCCTTTTAACAAAATATGTAAAAAGAAAAAACACAAATACATTTTTGATATTAATAATTTATTACTATGCGATAAGTCAAGATAATTTTTTTGTGTAGTCTTCTGCCCTCTGTTATCAGGTATATCTGATTGTGTACAACAGGATTTTGAGCAAAGTTTTTACCATTAAATTATGCAAAAGGTGTCAGACGCAAAACATTTCAGAAACCATATGTATCAAATATGATACATTTGGCATTACAGGGTTAAGGGATTAGATTAGTAGCTCTAATTTCTAAACAGCACATATCTTCATATGAAGTGATAATAGTCTTTTACAATCTTGTAGTCCATGTATTGTTCACATTTCCTACAATCCTTGTAGAGTTGTGTTATGTTTGCTTCTCTCATCTCATGTCTGTTTAGGAGTTTTTCAGAAAGCAGTGACAAAGGCTGGTTCCGCTCCTTATTTGTGCACAAGGTGGATGCGAGGAAAGATGCCCACTCTAACCTGCTGTCAAAGAAAGAGACCAGCAACCTGTATAAAATCCAGTGTATGCATCGGGTATTTCACTATCATTCAAAGGGATTGTTATTGCCTTTAAGTGCGGGGTTACTGAGGGTCAAACACCTGAGGATTGAAAAAGAAAATATTTCGATATTCTGCAGAAAAACAGCTACATAAATTATGCTTTTTCAATTATGTCTGCAAAACCATAGGGTCTCAGAGAAAACTGCAATTTTCATTGCACATCACAAGGAGCAAGCTGCAGTTAGGTTAATAACATGATGTATCAATTTCATACCTTTTTGTGACATCAGAACAAAAAAAAAATTATTTTCTTTAGAGTCTCAGATCATAACTGTGTCTATCTCCAAAGGAAAAATTACCATTTTTCTCCAGACTTTGATCTTTTATGCAGCTTACATCATGCTGTGCAGAGATTTCAATTGGAACAATCTATCAGCCATAGCCTATAACCTTGTGCAAGTGAATCAGTTTTGTATATAAAGTCTTTGCTGAATCGGGGTGTGAAATTACTTTGTTGGAGAATTTGATCATGCATTTTGAAAAAAAACACTAGCTTTTGATAACAATGTTTCTCTCTTTCGTCTTTTTCCCTTCTTTTGTGAAGTTCATAACGTCAAACCCGAGTGCCTAGACGCATACAACAACCTTGAGTAAGTGTGTTTCCCAGTCCAAAATATTCCTTTTATTAACTTTTCTTTCCATCTTATGTTTACTGCTTTGAATTGAATGGCTTTTCTTTCACTATTATAACTGTTTGTTTGTTTTTGATAATATTTTATATCAATATATTAGCTATAAAAGTAGTTTCACTGCAGAAGAAAGGTATGCAATTCAACAGTTGATGATTGCAATGGATTTACTCTTCTGCATAATGTTTACTGGGGTTTCAGGGAGTTATTCACAAGTAACCCTGAGATATTACTAAAGTGATTGTTGGGAAAGGCCAGATGATGCAAATTGTAGAGCTCTATAAATAGCATGGACAAACCTTGGCCTCAACAATGAGCAAACTGTGGACTCTTTCATATTGCTGTTTCATATTTGATATTTAGAATTATGGATCCCCACAAGACAGCAGATTACAGAAGATTGCAAAGTTCTTGTTGTGTTTTCTTGTTTGTTGTTTAATTGTGTAAATGCTACACTAGAAACCTTTATTGGAGAAATGCTTGTAAAAGTCGTTTATAAGACAAATTGCCTTTAGGTAGAACTATCGGACTATGGAGTGGTGATGCATTCCGCTTCTTAGCAGCAGCAGCAGCTGCAAATATTGCGTCCATGAAAAGGTCATCGGGTTATTCTCTCCATCAACAGCATCAATTTAGTGTCAGACTTGCAAATGAAAGCCCAAACTATTTGGTGCAACACAGTACCTTTTGAAAATATTAGCAGCATGAACCTTTTGCACTGTTTCTCACAATAAAAGGAAAAACTTAACTCCATATACTGAAACTAGGTTTCTGAATAGAGATACACAACATTCCTATAAAGTAGAAGATATTTTACATGTAAAACTCTTGAAAGCATGCTATTAATTTTCATTTAAATACCTGAATCAAGATTTTTAAAGAATTAGGCTTTGTTGTAATTATGGCTGAATATCTTCTGGGTAAAACAGCTAAGGTTTATACATGTTTTAACTTGTATTTGAATTTGAGTTTTAAAGATTTGCCACAGATTCTCAATAAACGTTTGAGTTTTAGACTTCTGAGAAGTATTTTCTTTTTATGCTTACCTTGTATTTAACTGCATTCAATCTTCCATTATCTCTGATAAATTCCTTATCCCTTTGTCTTGTCCCTTAAACAACATAAATCCAACACCATTCTGCTGCCACTTCTTGATCAATGTCCCCTAACCATTTATGCAGGTTTAGGACATATCTTGGTAGGTTTGCAGTTAAACCTTATCATCTGTCATTTTAACATGTTTCATTTAACAGTGACAGTATGAAGCTCAAAACTTGGATAGTTTTTCTTGAACAGAACCTTGCTGTTCTTCAGAGTTTATCCCTGACCCACCTGGTGTCTTTGCTGTTACCTTGGCGTTTGGACACTTTTCCTTTTTAACTTTTAATGCATTCATGCAGCAGCCATATACAGATGACGAATAACACAATTAGAAAGCTGCTATAGCCATTTAGTTGCATTGGATTTTATTCAAAAGATAGCAACACACTTCTTATATTTCTGTTTTTAGAAAAATGAAACCCAAATATCCTTTTCCCTTTACTTTACAATTTCCATAATATGCATTGCTGTTAATACTTGTAAAATTGCAGAATGGAAATTTAAAGATGTACCCTTTTGCAGTAAGTATACAGGGGGACATTATTCTAAATGTTAAGCACAGCATGTGGATTTACTATGGGTTTTTTTAAACTATGCCACAACCCTTTTGTTCCTTAGATAATAGAAAAAGTAAAGGATTTAAGGACTGAATGCTTTAACAGCCGGTTCTGAACATTTTTGATCCCCAGTTATCATTTGATCTTCATTCTTGCATTTTTTCTTAGGAATGAAGGCAATCCATTTTTTTTATCTGATCAAAATCTGAGCTGTGGTGCTAGAAAGTATAACAGTTTTTGTTGACTTGTGAAAAAAAGAGGGATTTTATTTGAGCAGAGGGAGAGTTTTGAATCTTCCTTGTTGTATAAAAATGTTCTTTTTTAACTTTGTTATTTTTCTATAGCAAGATTATCAAAGAATATTTGATATGCACATATATGAATAAGTGTTTTTATTTCTTGTCTTCCCTTTGTGTCCCCTAATTGATAATTTGACCTGACTGGACAGTATGCCTGTATTATAAATGTAGACAACTTTAAATAATGTTTTTTTTTTATTTCCTTTGTTTATAATTGTAATGCTGATGCTAGGGCTGAAGTACAAACCAGGCTCCATCAGGATCAGGATTTCCCCTGTGAGGTTGTTGGCAGTTGGAACACCTGGTATGGAGAGCAGGACCAAGCTGGTAAGCTACTGAGCGCATGAATGGAAGTGATACAGACACAATCAGACTGATAACTTTAATTCATCATGGATCCATGGCAAGAGATTCATTTCTGTTTCTTCATGCACTAAACAATTTGAAGTAGCTTCAATTTTATCATAATCTGTTTGGCAGTGTGTTACAGTGGCCTGCAAAAGCTCAGATACTTCCCCTGATGAGTCACCACTTTGTCTTTCCTTTTAACATATGATAATTTTCAGTTTATGGCATACATTAAGAGCATTTTAGAACAAATGAGAGATGAAAATGTGATGAAGGTTCTGTAAGCCCCATCTGTGTGGGTGGAACTGGCTTCAGTGAAGTGCTACAGTGACATCTGCTGTTCTTGCTGCTCAGTGCATCTGTGGCGATACAGAGGAGGCTACCCAGCTCTGACTGAATGCCTGCAGAAATTAAGAGCCAACAAGGTATGATGCAAATAATAATAGAACATTTATTTCATGCGCTATCTGAACATGCAGAAAAGCTTTTTTATTATCGACTAATAAGAATAGGAATTATTTTTAGGAATATTTGGAATTTCGCAGAGAGAGATCAAAAATGTTGATTTCAAGGCGAAATCAGCTTCTTCTGGAGTTTAGCTTTTGGAATGAACCTTTGCCAAGAAAAGGACCAAACCTCTATGAATTGCGCACCTACAATCTTAAGGTAATTATGTTTTTGGTTCCTTAAGTCAGCTGTTTGACATGTGGTAAAATGCCAGTTTTCCATTTAAATTCATAATGAAAGTAGATGCCAGATGTTGCTGATCAGATGACTTTAAGTGACTCTCTGGTTGCAGTTGTGATCATAAAAAAATCAATCAAAAAAAATAAATCAAGAAGATTAAAGTAGTTTGCTGTTCGCAAGAATGATAATAGGAACAAAGCTATTGTTGGTGCTGAACAATCTAGGTATTCATTCTTAAGACCAGTGCTGAAGAGTAAGAAAGAATAAATTGTTCAAGAAGATAGTAAATCTCCCCAGAAAGAGGGAAATATTCAGCAGAACTGCAAAAAATAATGAAATGAATCATCATAAACATCAGGCTTTACAGTTGGTTGAGAATAAGTGATGGCCTGGGCTTATTATCCTGCAACAGGAACTGAAAATCTTGATAAGTTATTAAGATGGTAAAAGGTTCGTTTTTAAGCTTGGCTGACATTTAAATATAACTAGGAGAAACACATATCAGATCAAATAATTAACAATGTGCATTTAATGTGACAGATTTAAAGTACACTTTTAAAATATTATTTAAGGAAGTAAGCATATGTTCACTGAGTCCACAGTCGTTTATTAAAAAGAGTTTTGTTTCCTTCTTTATTAGCTGTAAACAAAGAACCATTAAAATTAACATAATCAAAGCAAGAAAACTTTAGTCTGTGGGTAATAATCTATATAATGTTTTACTCAACAAACTAATCTACAGAAATAAATGAATTCCTGAAGAGGGACATTTAAGAAATTAAAAAATTAGTAAAACTTTGTGCTGAACGTTGTTTAATTAATCAAAAATTATGATAGATACAGTTCTAATCAATTGATTATGACTATGGTTTTATACACTGCAGTATATCTACACTCCGGCAGCAAAACAAGTGACTTAGCTGTTGCAGAGACACATAAAATTCAAACTTCCCTGTGCAGAAACAATTATGCATATTTTTCTTTCTCAACATTTTTTATTTATTTACAGCTGCCTATGGTTCCATTATTCCCTCCATAACATTGAACTGCTTCATCTTATAGGAAACTATTTAAGGCAGATGTACCGCTATAAGCTACTGAATCACTGGGAGGAGTTTTTTGACTGCATTGACTTTAATGGTAAACTGTTTCAAATGACAGTAAATGGAATAGAAAGGTCACATTTTCCATTTATGCAATTCACACACTAGTCAAATAAATATGCTTTTTTTTAAAACCAATTTACATTTCCTAGGCGTAGTGCTGGAGTAAACCTTTCTTATTTAGTTTCCTGTCTTGAATTACAAATATTTCCACCACCTCTGAACTTTTCTAGATTTTAATTGCTGACCTTGGGCTGTGTAGTGTAATCTTTACTCATGAGTAATAAAAGGTTTTGTACTCATGCAGCCACTGCTTCACTTAATCATGCACATGGGCTCATGATAGACACACATTTTTCTGATGAGTTTTAAAGCCATAAATGACATTTAAAAAAAGAAGATATTCCTATTGCATTTTTAAATTGATTCAAGTTTTAATTTAAAGCTATTGTTTCTTTCAGCCAGGAACCATGATTGAATGGGGCAACCGCTGGTAAGGCTAGCTTCATTTGCTTAAAAACATGAGTTTGAGTAAGCATGAGCTGTGTCTTTGTGAGTATCTGACTCCTAAAATGGAGCTCTCCCATTACAGGGCAAGGGCAATCAAATACAGACAAGAAAACAACGAGGCAGTGGGTGGGTTCTTCTCCCAGATTGGTGACCTGTATGTTGTTCATCACTTGTGGGGTGAGTGAATGCTTGCCGTATATCATCATATCCAGAGTCTTTGGAAGAGAAATTAAACCTTGTGAAAAAAAATCACATCAGCCATCTTGTTCTATTTATTCTGGGTTATAGAGCTGAATTATTCAATTGTTGAATCAGTTTAAAGCATATTGCAGCACTCAGCAATATATATCCATGCTCTTGTTTAGATCTGAAGTAAAATCATCAGTGATTACGTTTACAATTGTGTTATAACCTGGGCCAGTCCAACGGTGTATGAGCTCTAAAACAGAATTTAATTTGGGGGACCATGTCCAACAACTGGAAATTAGGATCATCACTTGTAAGAACAGTTTTTCCTCCATAAAACAGTAAGAATATAGCTGCACAACATAAGCAAATTGTGATATTGTAACATCCAAGGCTTTCTGTGGTCTTCAGTTTGTTCCACACCATAACCTGTTTCAGCAACAGGCATCTGCTGCGGGGAGACTTTATCTAAAAGGCAGGAATAAGAGTGGAGCATTTGGAATTGCAAAATAAAACACTCACTGCATGCTTAATTTTAGATTGGTATTGACCACCACAGGCCAGTCTGAGACAATTAAGGTTGAGGTTTGAAGGTCACATCTGAGCTGAGCCCATCCCTCTTATCACAGACCTCAGACAGATGGGAAGGATACATAGGTTATTTAATGTTTTATTCATAAGCAACATTGGGATACAAGGCATTTACTCACAGAACAATTTACTAACAGCTAGAAAAAAGTTAGGGAAAAAGGTGCTTCCCTAACTTTTATAGATACAGAAGATTTGTATGCATATCTTGTATAAATGTATTTTCTCTCTGAGGGGCCTTGTGCCACACCAAAGTGAGTTCATTCCTAAGGTTGGCTTTGACTGCAGCTATGCTTTGAAATAAAAAATAGCTATAAAATTAAAAAAAGGCCAAAGAAGGAACATGGTTCAATATCTATATTTTTGCTTTATAAGCAAAACCTCAACAGGTGGATTCATGTTCAGGTGTCCTGTCTAGACCTCAAGAGCAGAAACCATACCACAGTTTTTTTCTACCTCATCAATGTATGTTACCCTTTAATTTTTTTTTATTGTTTTCTTTCTAGTTTACCTATGATAAAGGAACACTGTTCATACATTTTCAGCTTCATGTAAAGACTTTTAGCCAGTGGAAAATAACCCACTGTTTTAATGAATACCTCTGATAAACAAATATCTACTATCATAAAATGTTTTATAATGTCTCTTGTTATCGACAAGCCTTACAGGCCTAGGTGTTAAACCAAACATTTCTCAAGCTTGTGGGGGGAAAAAAAAGGTTAGAGAAAATTATGCTGATGATAAATAGGAAACACAATAGAGGAACAGAAGGTTGAATAAAAATAGCTTAATTTCATCTTTCTTTTTCTCTGTTGGATGCCTGTTTATCACACAACCTAAAAATACATATCTAAAGTCATTTGAATTTTTGATTAAAATTAACTTACACATAATATAATATTCAAATGTTTTCTTACAGCCTATGAAAGCCTTCAATCCCGAGAGGAGACAAGAAACTCTGCCTGGCAGAAAGAGGGCTGGGATGTAAATGTTTATTATACAGGTAAGATGACTACAAATACAATATTCTCTTAGCTGATTTACTGAAAAAAATATTTTTTTTTGGCATTTACGTAATCATATTTAGTTACTTTAACACAACTGTTTTATGTCCTACCCTGCTAACATAAAACAATTCTGTTAAAGTAACAAAATATGATTGGGTTTGCTATTGATGTGAAAACATTCAGTTTATATAAGTGACTTTTATGCCAAGAATTTACAAACTTTTTGACTTGATTTGAATTGTATTCTTAATCTTGTCTAAAAAGATTTACCACATTATGCATGCACTTTTTTTTTTGTTTTATTTACACAGCATTACTGTTAGTTACAAGTTTTCTTCCTTTTTGGTTTTATTTATCAAAGGAAGCTTTCCAAACTAAAATGGTTCAGTGTCAAAACATATCTGCATCCTTGTTAATATCATGAAATATGAATTAGCTGCCTTCAAACTGATCTTTATATTGGTTGATTTGTTTAACAGCCTTTTTACTACTTTACTTGTAAAATCAAGAACTTAGTTAAATAGAACCTTTCGGGTATTCAATAACTAATCAAAAACATAGACAATATCTATCATTCTAAGGTTTAAAAACATTTTTTTAGGCAGCCTACTAAGTCTGACCTCAGATCTGGTTGAAATGCTGCGCTATAGCCTTTAAAAGGATGTAAAGTTTGACACAACCAGCTAGTAGATATATGGGGTAATATTTTTTCATACAGGCCCTTGTTTGTTTTTTAAAAATGCTTTGTGTAGGTTATTTTGCAGCCTTTATAATTTAAGATTAATCAGAGGTAATCCAGGTTCATTAAACTAAAAGCCTGTGGAGAGATTATTTCCAATTATTTGCATTTCAAGCTTTACTCCACAGGCAAAGGAATAATATTTACATAAAATCACTTGAACAAGTGAACAGGGTGAAGAAAAACAAGTGAGGGTTCTACCATCTGAAGTTTTTTTTTTCTCCTACCTCTGAAAATATTTAAGGGTATTAATTTAACACTAATTTGGAGATTTCAGGTATTGATCTTTTCCCATAATAAGGAAATTATAGAACATGCCTTGATAAGTGAGTAAAATGTTTGTGTTTTAAGGCTTTGTTTAATGAGAGGCTACCCAGGTAGGGATTCAATAACAGGTTCAGGGTTAGATAGGATAACGCTGGAAAAGAGATTAAGAGCCATTTGAAATAACTTTAGATATTAACAACACAGATTCCTTTCTTGTCATGCCATATTATGTGTTTTTATCTGTTCCCAGTGCCTTTGTTGAGGAGCATGGAGTCCAGATTAATGATTCCTACCAAGAGTTCACCTTTACAGTGAAGTTTTGACTCTTACTACCAACAACTGAATGACTACAACTCCCCAACATCATCATCCACCTCCCAAAAGCTGAGTCACCTGTGTGTTAAGTCTGCTGGATGATCCATGTTACATCAGTGTCTTTCTTTGTATTCACACTCCAGCTAGTTTAAAAAAAAAAAAGTAATGATGTAATTGTGCACTTTGGGGAATTTTTCAAAGTGTACCGTATATGTTTTCTTCCATACAACTAATCAAATATTTAGGGGGAACTATGCTTTAAAATGTCCAACTCTGATAGTTAAACTGATTATTTAGACTAAGATGCCTTGGGCAACAGTTGAGCTCTTTGGGCGATTAATCATGATATGATACCAGTCATTACTATTTTTTCAAGTTTGAACGGTTAGTTTCATGCAACTTTTATGGCATACTTAGAAAATTGTTTTGCATACTGAGTCATTTTTACAGCATACTAAAAAAAGTACCTCATGTTATGTACTCATTGTCAACTCATCTGGCTGTTTGGTTGATTGTGTACAGAAAGCCCTGTCACTGTACCAAGTGGAAATTCACACCCTCTATTAAGATGTAGTACTTTTCAAAATAAAAGTGGACTTATGTAAGCTTAGAAATACTTTTGAAGATTAATACTTTTAATTTGCTAATACTGATAACTCTTTGGTAAATTTGGATTGATTAAAATATGTTATAAATCTGAAAATTATTAGGCTTTTACTTTGAGATAACACCAATTTGGAAAATAGTTTCGCTTTTTTCTTTTTTGTTTTTTTAATCTTTACTTTTACAATGTTTTTTTTTTTACAGTCTGTCAATGTTATTAATAGTTATAGATAAATAACCCTTGAGAAGAATAAGAAGTTAATGTCTTCTGGAACAAAATTTGAATTGATTTTGTAGATTTCTCTGAAAACATGTTTTTTTTGTTGATGTATAGAATCATGAAATGTTCATCACTGTGAATTAGCTATGTAATAGTTACATCTATTAAACTGCAGGTGACTGTCAACAGTGTGAATCACTTTGAGTATCAGCAGTTTTTATTTTCATTTTAACTGAGCAAAAGTTATGATTTACATCTTAAATTTTTTAAAACAGAGGAAACATTTCATTGCTCGGCTAGATGATTGACTGATCAACCGGTTTTTATATTAACCTTCTCATGATTAGAATTATATGTAGGCCACCTTTAACCATTTTTGGACCATTAGGTTTTTTTAAAAAAATCGTTTCGAATCTTATACATATCTTTTATCTAAATTGGGCACTCTTGTAATTTTGAGTAGCAACACTATAGTACCTCATAAATATATAAAGGCATAATTGTTAAATACAGTTTGATGTTTTTGATAAGCTTATAAAAAAATAATTTCTTTAGAATTGGAAAACAAACGTCAAATTAACCTTTAAACTATTTTCTTTTATTTTGAAATGTCAAAACGGAAATGTAATATCAGCTGGTTCCTATAGCTTTGGAAGCGCACGTGCCAAACCTGTAGCTTTAAGATGAGGGGGCGTGGCTGCGCTGGTCAGCCCCTTGTTTTTGAATATACAGTAGTTCAGGGAGGCTGCTTTGGTCGGATGTTTTTCTCGTCCTGTGAGAGGAGCCCAGCGGGATATTAGTGATTACAGCGGTCTGGAACCTTCCTCACTCAGGGTCATGTTTAACATTTGAATGATAGAGTTCAGCTAGAAATACCTTTTTTTCTGCGCTAACAGCTAAGTGGAGAAGGAACTGTTCGCTAGCAGGAAAATATGGACTTGCACATTCTGGACCACAGACTCCGGGTCACCAGCATATCCAAGAACGGGCTGATCAGTTACACCCACCCTCTAATAAAACTGATATTTCTCCGCAACAGGACACGGTGAGTAGTGTGGCTGCTAAAGTGGTTGTGAATCGGTGTGGTTAATCCAGATCGGAAACATGAGAGAGGAACACAGCGCGTGCTTATTCACTGGGTGGCTGAGCTGTTGTTTGTCTGTTCATGCCTCTCTGCTGCTGCAGATGATCAGCTGCACTGCATGAAGCTGTTGACTTCAGTGCAATTTAGATCCTCTCATTGGTCCTTTTTAAGAAAAACTTGCGAGCTTTGACTAACCGTTTTTTTTTTTTGTGCCTCTTTTTTAAATAAGACATGCTGCTGCATCCTGCTTCTTCTGTGCAAAGGATTTCAATAAAGGGGTTGGTCTTTTTCTGTACTTTAGAGGAAGAAACTGAGTCCAACCTGCTTGTCTTATAACTACCGGTAACATCACTATGTATGTGTATGTGTGTGTGTATGTGTATATATATTTATATGTGTGTATATACGTGTATGTACATATTTGTGTATAAACTAAACTAGGGATGCACGATATAATCGGCCCCCTATCGGTATCGGCCTGTATCGGCCTTAAAACTGAAGATCGGACATCGGCCACCCCACCGATATTTAACCCGATATTTGATCAGCTTCTGAGTTTCTAAAAAAGTCTAAAAAAAAAAATAAAATAATACTTCTTCTTCCTCAAAAACTTCTTTTTTACAGACTTAAAAACTTCTAAAGACGAGGGCAAAAATATTGATACATTAAAATATCACAATATCTTCATATGCTGATATATTGCCATTTAAAAACACCATCTCTTTTACTAATGAAATATTGCTATATGTCATCGTTATGCTACGAAATCCCTCGAAAATTCACGAAATTTTGCCACATTTTTATATGTTGACATATTGACGTGGTATCGATCTATTTTACTAACAAAATCTCACAAGAATTTGCAAAATATCACAAGAGTTTTTAACAGAACGATGAAATTTCACGAGATTTTGAAAGTAAAATAGATCGATACTGCGTTTTTAAAAATCAATTTGATATCAGCATATGAAAATATATTTGAGTATATTATTTTTCAAAGTGTCAGAAATGGATAACAAAACTGCTATTTTCAATGACTACTTATTTTTGTCCAGCTTTAACATCGGTATCGGTTATCGGCTACATGAGTTTTAAAATATCGGCATATCGGATATCAGCCAAAATCCCAATATCGTGCATCCCTAGTATAAACGTGTGTATATATGTGTATGTCAAGGCCGAAAGGCACCAGAACCTTAGGGTCAATCTACACGGTCCCAACAGAAACGAGCACAACATCCATGTTTACCAAATAAAGACAAACTACACTTTCCTGCAGCCTTTGCTACAAATAGATGCATATATTTAAACACCTGTGCTGTGTAAATAAAAGGTATAGTGGACAAAATCCCTTTCAGGTTTGAGTTCTGGGGTGAACATGTTTTACACTGTCATTATCTACTTTTATCAATAATCATTCTGCAAAAAAATAGATATTTTAATGTACCAATATCCACATATTATTTCATGAATTTTTAAGTTATTATTAAACTAGTTATTTATTTATGATTTAACTGAATACTCCTAGCTGACTTACAGAGACGCATAATTTTATCTTTACCCCAAATGATTCAAAATTTAGTTCTGAAAAGAGCATTAATTCTGTATTTATCATCTTTAATGTTTGAATATTGATGTGCATAATCAACCACAGTGTTTCTGTTTTCAACTAGTTGTTAATATATGAAAAATTTTAATGTTCAATAAGTTTGTATATTCCCCTTCAGACTATTACTGCTGCCATCATCTGTAATAGAGGGACAAAATGCTAGGGGTGGCCAATGATTGGCTAAGGGTGGCCATGGCCACCCCTGGCCCCCAGTCTAGCTCCGCCCCTGAATGTGTGCATGAATAGTGGGCCAGCTAAACATCTGTGTTCTGTCCACCGTCCCTGCTCTGTCACTATGCTGATGAGAGCATGTAAACCAGAATAAGGAAAAAGTAGCACTCGCTTGGTACTTGATGTTTGCTGACAAATTTCACACTATTATTTTTGAACCTTGAATGTTTTAGTCATGTCACAATTAACAAATTAATGTAAGATTTGGTATTTTATGACATAGATGCACACAAAATTTTGCATAGTCATGCAACAGTCAGTTGTCCTGGGTCAACATCGTGTTTGGTGCAGGTGCAGCTCTGGCTGTCTCGTAAGGGTTGGTTTTCTTTCTACTAAGTAAATGTCTGACTCTCTTCTCAGAGTTTACTTCCATGCTTCTCCTCTATTTAACTCATCTGCTTTCCATCTTTCAAAGAACTCTAACTAGCTTCAATTTCCCTGAATCCCCACAGCATGAGGCCACCACCACCGTGTTTTCCTATAGAGCTGGTGTGTTGGTGGAGATCAGCAGTGTTATTTTATGTTATTTTTATCTGACAGTATACTTCATGTAAGCCAGGATGTTCCATTTTGTTTATTCCCAATCTGAGCTCTTTTTGAGATAAGGGAGCACAGGTTCAGAAATCCTTAAATTGGACCTTTTTGTTGTTTTTTTTTTTTTTTTTATAAGTTCCTTTCAATTAGTTCAGATTTCAGGATTTTACAACTGTCCTTTTAATGTTTTCCACCCAAACCTTAAGAATTACTGTGCTGACAGCACCTCAAAGTGATGCTGTACTTGTTTGGGTCTTCATTTTAATTGGACAACCATGTCTTAATAGTTTTGTCAAACGTTCTTTATTTTTAGATGACAGAATAGTTCTAGGTGATATGTTTATAACTGGTTTAAAGCTAAACCCATCTTTGTCCCTCTTCATTCTGCTGTTTGTTTAAATATGTTCTCTGAAAAGCCTGTGGTGCTTTAATAGAGCAAGTGTGTGCATACTAAGATTGTACTGGACAAGTGGACTCCATTAGGTAATTTCTAAAGACAAATGATTGCACTAGATTTTTGTTTTGGAGTATCAGAGTAGAGAGGAAGGGGTGAAAAAGAGAGAACATTTTAATTATTAAACTTGCACATCACAACTGTTCATTTTTTGTTTGTCTATCACATAGATTGTCACTGTATTATAACAAAATGTGCAAAAGTTCAGGTGACTTCATGTTGTTAAGGGTGCTGTTTGCTTGCATTGTTGTCGCATTAAACGGCAAGTAAAGTGTCAACGACAAACTGACAGGAAGCTACATTAAAAGATGACTGACTTAGACCGTGAGACGTCTCTTTCCGTGTCCGTTCATGCCTTCATGCCTCTTGGTGTTTTGACTCATAGTATTGAGTAATAAAAAAGTTTTGACATGCCTGTTATGAATAAAAGTATGTTTTTAATGTAACGAGTCCACTGTTCTATTTACAAAAATACTTTTACTAGTTATCACACTTAATTGAGGTTTAAAGTATTTTTTTGATAAGCATTGCATTGTTGATAGGGTTAAGCCATGCTATTTACCCCATCCCCACCTGTTTCTGACAGCTGGTTGTATGAAAACATCCTATTTGGTTGTTTGGGGTTATTTTTGGTTGGAAAAAGCATGCAAAATTATAATATGGAAACTAAATCTCCACGGATATTTTTAGAGCAGCATTGTTTTGAAAACATGACATTGTACTTTACATTTCAGCTTAAAATGTTGATTCAGATAGCAGTGATATAATGAAGTCTAGGATTATAAGTCAAGGTTATCAAAGCACACTGACGTTGCATCATCACTCTTACACAATAGATGTGTTTGAAATTGTTTTATCAGTTTGTATTCTCTGTTTTTCTCCTGCCATATTTAAATCTACGTTTGATTAAAGGAGAGGGGGTCCGGAGAAAGTTGAGCAAAAACAAGCCTGATTTGCCTCCCTTCCTCCTCTCCCCCCTCCTTAACTTCCTCTGTTCATTAAAGAACAACTCCTTCGCCCGAGCTCAGTGGGTCTGACAGCAGTTCTGAGAGGAATTTTAATGAGCGGCTCACTCACAGCCTTGCAAATTGCATATGATTATGTGGTAGTTTCTTCTTAAACATCCATTACAAGGGTTTTGGCACAGGCCAGGAATAAAACCACCTTGCAGAGTTTATTTACCCTTCCACTAATATAAAAAAATTATGAATAATGGATCTAATCCTTTTACAAGCTCCTGACAACGCATTCATTATGCATTCTCAAACGCTTTGCTTATAGTCTTCCATTGTCTCCAGATCGGGGGGGGGGTTATTATCAGAGGCCAGTATGTTGGCCTTTCTGCATTGTGGATGTAGCCCTGCAGGCACAACACAGTTCTCCTTTCTTCTGTTGGGCTGCTGAATAAGAGCACGGCTTGGAACAATGCGTCAGCTGAGCCAGAAACCCAGTTTTCCACTTTTATGCTTCAGTGATCTTCTGAAGTTGGGGCACTCGCTCCCAACTCTGATAAAACTTATCTGTGCTCTCTCAGAATAAGCCATGAGTCAGTTAGGGATGTAAATGTATAGCAGGGTTTTATACAGTAGGGTTTTCTAAACTACAATAGTTTCCCATACTCTTCCTAAAGCTCCAACGCGGCTTTATTAGAGACCAGTTAGCTCATGATGATTTCATGGCTTTGTAAGCATTTTATATTTTAAGTCACCATATTTTATAACATAATGATAAAAAAATCAAAAGAATTAACACAGAATATGTAATAGAATCTCTTTCCAAGCATATGTTATTAGAGAACCTTTATCTGATCATTTGTCCATTTTTTATTTCTTAGACATTGTTTTGGGTTTCTTCCTCTCAGTATGTTTTCTCAGCTGGAATATCCATTGTAGCTGCTACCGCCCGTTGCTTTGTACGGCCAGATCAAAGTCCAGAGTCTTGTGTGCTTTGGTTTTCATCTCCACTCTTTCTCTACCTGTTGCTTTCTTTGTCTCTTTTGGTTATTTTCCTTGTTGCATCAGAGGAAGGAGTTTATTTTTCCAGCCCATTACCACCAACAGTTGCATTAGGCCCATGTATTGGAGTGCTTTGCAAACATTAGGACTTCACAGGGCTCCGTCTCATCCCAAATTT